AATTTTAAAATTTTCTCCAATAAAACTTTAAATTTATAAAAAAAAAAATTAACTAAGTTTTCTTTTAAAAAAATTTTATCAAACACTCTCAAAGAATGAGATATGCACAATTAATGAACTAATTGAACTACGCCAAATATGCTATCGACTAGTTTCTTTCTTATTGACCAAAAAAAGAGACTAGTTTTTTTCTGGTGAATTCTAACGTTTTTTTAATGTAGGCCAATTAAAATTTTGAAGTGTAATTAATTATATAAGGAGTCATAGGTACGTATAGCGTTTTACCAAAATACATTATTAATTTTTTTAAAGAAAGTACATTATTAATTGGGTGGTGTGACTTTGCAATAGACATATATGCATAGTGTTTGCTATTGGGAATTTTTAAAGCGACAAAGTCCCACACAAACGAAAACAATAAAAAAATTGAGAGAATAATTTAACATGATGTAATTTATACACATTTCAATAAGTTTACGTTCATAAAAAAAAAATTTTATTATTAAAAAAAAGTATAATAATTTAAAATTTTTTTCACTCAAAAAATACTCAACACTTTAATTTTAATGTATAAAAAATCTCAAATTTTTTCTAATACTTCTTAATCTACACAAAAATTTCTCACAATTTTTTTCTTTCTTTTCTCTCACTCACAATAGCTCTCACTCAATTTCTCTTGCTTTCTCATGCTCTTGTTTGCCCATTATCTTTGCATGCATAAGTATGTGTAATAAAAAATCTGACCACTCATGCATCATTTTTCTTTGCTTCATTCTTATCCATCCAAGATTTTCTTTGCTTGTTAAATGAGGCAACATGCGATCTTGAAAGATTTCAACTAAGCAATCTAGCTCAACATTAGCTTATAGACCGGTGAAGCAAACTTCCATATGAAAAGTCTACATGTTCACATGGATGGGGCTGGACTTTCTACGAACACTTGCGGCATGATTTAATACTATTAGTACAAATTAGCTACAGCCTATCTACTGGCATTAATTGTTTTCGGGTGCTTGCAGCGTCATCAATCGCTGCAATTGTCAGTTAATTAAATGCAAAATCCGTTCAGTTTCTCTGATAAGGTGATCGGACGGCTTCATCAACAGAGAATGGGGAAAGAAAATTTTTTTTTTTTTTTTCACTTCTCGAATGTCTGCCCTTCTTCATCTAGTTTAGAATATCTTTGTTGAAGCCAAAGAAATCAAGAAATCCAAGACCCAATAGAGTATCGTAGCCTTGTTGAAGATGGTGAACTGTGTAAGTCGATTCAAAGCAAACTAGCTTTCTGGATTCTGTTTGGTTTCCAAGTGAGGAACAAATTTTTGTTGGGGTTCCCACAAAAGAGAAGAAAATGGAAAATAACTAAGTTTTTTTTTTTTTTAATATTTAATTAATTGATAAATGATAAATTAAATATGCTACAGAATTGTTTTAGATTTTTGTTTTATGTGTTCGAAATTTTTTTAACGGAAAATTTGTTTTAGGTTGTTAATTTCAATACTACACAAATTATTGTTTTAAATTTTGATTTAATTAACTTTTACTTACCATTTATAAAAATAAATTCAAATTTTAAACAAAAATTAAAAAGATGCTTTTATAGTTTTAAGGGCAATTTTTTGTCCATAAATACAAATATTTATAAATAATCTTAAAGCACTCCAAACATAAAATTAGGTAATATATAAGTCAACACTTCAAATTCAATTCAATCCTATCATCTTTATTTTGTACCATCCAATCCTATCTTACAATCCAAGCAAATCCTAAATAGAACCCGGAGTAGTACCGACATTCATTTTAAGAACATGTATCCTAGAATCGGACCTTGTGGTCCAATAATTCACCTCCAAATCTTAGTGTTTAAGTGAGATGGTGGTTGGGATTTTGAACTCCGTCATCGTCGTGAACTCCACCAAAATGTGATCTGATGATCGCACGTCTTATTTGAAAAGGTGAAATATTCATTCGGTCTAAAAACCAACTACTAACAACTAACTCATTAACTTCCTAATCATTATTCTTGTCAAAAAAAAAAAAAACATGTATCCTAAACTTTTTTTCTTTTGTGATAGTGCTATAGGAATAATTTTTTAAATTCATTTTTTATATAATTTTTATATATTATTAAATAAATAAATATATTTAATATTATAAAATTTATACAAATTAAAAAAATTAATTATTTTAATAATACTTCATGTTATAAAAAAATAAAATACAAAAAATTATACAAAAAATATTTAAAAATACATATATTTTAAGAAATGAGAGATTTTTTTCCACACACTAATAAAACTTAAAATCTCAACTAATTAATTCAAATATTTTAACATTTAAAAACGAATCACTTTTTTCTTTCCAAGTGTTCATGTTCCGTAAACTTTAAATAATAAAAAAGTAAAACAATTAATGCAGATTAGAAGAACATATATTGAATATGTTTGATAGTAGTTTGACGTTGTACACTAGACTAAGTACGACTCGTTGTAATGTAGCTCTAGCTTAATTTCAAAATTCAACTAATTAAGGTTGCTGTAGCAAACCAATTTCTTTATTTTTTTATTTTTGATAATTATTAATTAACATTAATAATTGACAACAACTACTAGTACTTTCTACCGGCAACGGTATAAATAAAAATGTTAGTTTTTTATTTTTGACATATGCAAACAAAGCAAAAATTAAAAAAAAAAGGTTAAATTTTAAATTTTAAGAATCATAGAAGAATTTTTTTTAAATAAAAAAAATAAAAATAAACATTTTATAAAAATAATGGGACCAAAATAAACTTTTACCCTTTAATTACCAATTACGGACACGAGCACTCGAAGAAGAGCATTCACGGGCAATGACGGATTTATAGTATTGTCAGGTCGTTCTCAACTCATCGTGCGATCAGGAAGCAGAGACCGAAAGCAAAAAGATGAATGAGGCTGTCACTGTACCCTACACAATGAGGCTCCTAATAATTCAGCAATGGACAAAAAGTCTTTTTCTGGAACGTGGCAATTAAGGTTTCTATCTCATATATATA